CAAATAAAGTTGTTCGTTTTTATCATGAGCAAATATTCAGCTTTTTAGGGCATTTGTGTAATTTATTAAAAAAATAACTTAAATGCAATTAGGTGAATAGAGAAATAACTGAAAATTTAAAAAATAGAAAAAAAATGGTAAGCACATGCAAAAAGATTTCAAACTTAATTATAACAGAAGATGCAAATTAAAGCCAGACAATGTAGTGAAGCTTTTCCTTTTTTAGGTAAATTACCAGCCCTGGGGTGGGCAGGCTGGGATAGGCACCAGGAGCGCTGGGCATGGCAGTGGACGTGGGGACTCACTTTTCTGGAGGTGTGTCAGGACCTGGCCTGCCAGGCGCACCACAGCAGGTGGAGGTTAAGTATGGGCTTACACACTAGTCCCCTCCCCCAAATCTCCACCCTACCAGAACTACTGGTCTGTGTTAAAAGAAGAAACAAAAGGGAGTGGGTGTGGCATGGGCAGGTTACTGGGAGGAAAGGCACAGCAACCCCGGAGGAGGACGGATGTGCTCTGCGAGGCACGGGGCCCTCCCTGGACAGGATGACCAGCACCTGAGCAACCCTGTCCTGATGGCCGCCCCCATGCCCCTGGCTGGGTGGCTCTGTGTCCCCGGGACCAGTGGTAGGTGCAGTGGAGGCACCCAGGCCACGGGAGGGGAGAGAAGGCGTGTGGCTGGGCATGCAGAGCATGGAGGCACTTGGGTGACAACCAGACGACCAGACACATGGCAAGATCTTATGTCCGTACCGTGTATACACACCTGGGTACATAAATCTAATTTCACTTCTTCAATGGCCGCACTAACTCCTCCCCCGGAAGGAGGCGCACACCTCTGGGGGGTGAGAGGGGCTGCACAGAGGGGTCTCAATGCTCATGGAATTTTCTAACTGGGATTTTTTTTTCAAAGATTTTAGGTAATCTCTACACCCAACATGGAGCTAGAACCCCCCGCCCCCTGCATCCCGAGATTAAGAGTTGCTGCTCCTCTGACCCAGCTAGCCAGGAGTCCCTCTAATTGGGAATTTTGAGACTTTCTTGAGTGTTTTGGTATTTAAGGAGAAAAAAGAAGTTTTAAAGTTCACAACCCTTATTCCCAAAACTCTAGCTGAAGAATGAGTTATTTATAAAAGGCTTAGACCAGTGCCTGGTACACTGTAGGTGCTCAAATAAATGTTTTAAAAATAAATACCCCAGGAAACAGACTCAAACCATGGGAAGAACCTCCACACACAAACGGTCATGGTTCAGAAAGGGCTAAGCATGGAGGGAAGCATTTCCACGTGGCTGCTCCGTGGGGCCTGAGTCTTGGCCTCCGCAGGGACCTGTGGAGTGCCTCTGCCTTTCCAGGGCGGGCCCGCGGTACCGGGTTACAGAATTCACAGTGAGAACGTGGTCTGTCGTACAGACTGGAGTCCTCGCCAACATGACATCAGCGTTTTCTCCCTGTGGGCAGATCGTCATTCATTCATTTAATAAACATTTATTAAGCACAAATGCGTGCAGGCACTGTCCTAGGTCCTAGAGAAACAAAATTCTTTCCCTCATTACTTTCACAAAGCTGACGTTCCAACAGACCACAGGTATCAGCTGGTTCACGTACTTTAAGAGGAGGAATAACGTCAACCCAGGCTGGGAGTGCTCGGCTCTACAGCAGGGTTCGGTCCGGGTGTTTACCCACAAACAGGAGAGAAGGGGCCTAACTCACTGATGGGGGTCCCGGACGGCTCCCGGGAGGCAGTCAGTCGGATGAAACTGGGGGGGAAGGGTGGCTGCAGCTGCCACACGGGAAGCGTTAGGAGGCTCAGGGTCAGAGCCACAACACAGTAACAACTCAACGGACACACAAAACCAGGGCAGTTCGCTCCAGTCAGAAGGCTTTGGAAGGGCCTCAGAGAGGTGGGCTAAGGGCGTGTGCATGCACACGCACACGCAGTGGTCACCCCGTTGGGTGACGGAGGGGTAGGACTGGGCCTGTGACGCAGCCCTGGCCGGCCACGGGATCCCTGTCTCTAGTGATACCGCTGTCATTAGTCTACAATGTGGATGAGGACCTACAGTCACCGGCTTGGGGCAGCCGGGGCTCAGCTTTTTCAGCATGTCTAGAGAAAGCAGCAGGAAAAAATGAGGCCAATAACCAAAAAGGGACAGAGAAAGGCAGGGCAAGGTCTTCCCAACATTCTTTCAGCCTCAGGATCCAGCCATACTTGAAGCCTGTCTCTGGCCTCCGAGTCAAGTGGTCACAGGCGGCCGGGGGGGGGGGGGCTTTTTTTGGGCAATGGTTTTTTGTTGGTTTTTGCCATTCACAACTGGATGCACAGACCATTTTTTTTTTTTTTTTTTTTTTTTTTGCGGAAAGAGATTCACTGTGTACATGGTGGTGATGGGGTACAGGGGCAATGAAGGATAGGTTGTGGGACACTTTCTCCCAGTAAGTTTGATAAAGACAGTGAGATAGGTGGCTCTGAGGCATCTGGGAGGGCAGAGAAGCAGCAGTGACCAGTCCTGGGGGGGGGCGGGGTATAAGTTACAGTCTACATGGATAAGTAACGTAAACCTGTGAGTTTCTATAACCCACTCTGGGGCCCTAAGTCATCTTCGGAGAACACGGAACAGCTGATCACAGACACCAAGGACACCTCTGTTTAAAGCCAGCTTACCGTCCTCATGAATGTGCACCAGCCAAGGAATAAATGTTGCCACAAACTTAACATTTTGAACTCTTTACCCGACACCAATCACCCAGTGTTCTCCAGAAAACTTAATTCAGGCAGCTAGACCCATTACAGTCCAATGCTAACAGATGTTAAAGCAAAACACACTGCTGCGTGTTCTGTAGCGACCTTGAGAGATGGCTACAGACGCACAAGACTCGGACCCTCTGCTCTCACGAAAACTCTAATCAGCTGGTCACAGATAGTAACAGCAGTCCAGTCTGAAATATACCTTCTAATCTAAATCCGTGAATAAGAAAGATGCTTTATAACACCGTTATCGTCTAAGAACAGCTTAAGGAAGCCTTTGTGTATTAAGCAATGGGTCTCGTTCTGGCAGAAATAACGATACCTCAAGATTTTTTATTCTTTCCGAAGATAATTACCAAATACCTATTGTGTACCCACGACCCCAGCATTGTGTGCCCACGAGCCTTTCCTTTTTCTCTGGGTGAAAAGGCCAAATGTTGGTTCACAGCTGGATAATGCTGGGTACAATGTAAAATAAAAGATAATTTATCACTGAACAATTTGAAGTATTATTCTTTCAGCAAATACTGGCCCTCTGAGCTCTGCCTGTGCCTCCCTTGTCCTGTGACCCCAGGTTCACGTGGCTAGGACTCTAGTCACTGAGAAATAACAAGCCTGAGAAGCTTGGGTTCCAGTTCCAGTTCTGCCACTGACTAGGGCCGGGATTTTGGCCGAGACTTCTGCATCTCAACAGTGGGGATATGCTTATTTATTGCACGGAGTTGAGAAAGGTTTTAAATTAGTGGATGTAAAGTGTTCTTTTTTGTTATTATTTTTTGTTTATTTGAGAGAGAATGAGAAAGAGAAACCACGGGGGGGGGGGGGCGGTCAGAGGGAGAAGCAGACCCCACTGAGCAGGGAGCCTGATGTGGGACTCGATTGGGACCCTGGGATCGTGACCTGAGCTGAAGGCAGACGCTCAACCAACTGAGCCTCCCAGGCGCACTGATGTAAAGTGTTCTGTACAGTGTCAGGCACATAGCAAGTGCTCAATAAACAGAAGCTATAATTAAGTGAGGCCTTAGTCTCTTTCCAGTTCTAAAATTTTATGAGGTCTTTAGTGGAGAGATTATGGATTTTGAGATTCCTCCGCCTACTACCCCCCCCCCAAGTCGGCTTCATCACATCTGGCAAAATAGCAAAGACTCAAATAGCAAAAAGTTCCCCCCTTCTCCATCGGCTGTACCCACGGGCAGCCTTCAGCGAGAGAGCAAGTTCAAGCGTCTGGGTCCCGTACCCTTACTAGTCACAGCTGGACACTTCAAATTCTGACAATACCCCTGCCAGGTAGATGTAACGACCCTCATTTGGTCAGCAAGGCCGAGGAGGAGTTAAATAACTCACTGAATGTTACACAGACGGCAAACCGCAGACCTGACTCCAAAGTCCATGCCCGGTTCCACTCCTACTCCTCCGCCTCCCATACAGCGAGCGCGAGACTGTTTCGACAACGAGGAAGGTATTTCGGGGGCTCGGGAGCGATGGGAACGAGCCTTCTTTGGCAAGGCGAGAAGCTGGCAGCGTCGCTCGTCCGCTCAGACGCCCCTGCGTCCTGCGCTGCCCGTGACCTCCCCGGCCTCCCTTCCCGGCAGCAGCACGGGCCTGCGCGCGCGGGTCCGCTTGCTGGGCATTCCAGGCTCCGCCGCCTCGGCCCAGCGCCTGCGGGGACTCCCCCGCGCCCAGGGACAGGTATCCCCGGCGGAAAGGCGAGCCCCCGCGTCCGACATCACGCGCGGCACCTGCGGCAGGCTTACCCTCCGACGCGGCCCGAGAAGCCGCCGAGCGGACGCAGGGCGCAGGGCCGGGCGGTGACGCAACTAGGCCTCCTGCAGCAGGGCCCGGCCGGGGCACCGCGCGGTGGCCGCGACCCGCAGCCGGCGGTCCGCGGCGGACGCCCACGCCTTCCCCGCGAGAGGCACGCAGGGCGCGCGGGCTGCCCCGGGGCTGCGGAGCGGGCGCAGGCGGTCCCGGCGCGGAGGCGCGGGGCGGCGCGGCCCCGGACCAGCCCCGGGAGCCCCGCGTCCGGCCGCGGTCCGCGCCCAGGGCAGCAGCGCCGGTGGTACCGAGCCGCTAGGCGCCGGTGGCACGCGCGCCCGAGCTTCCGCGCGCGCACCCGGCGCGCCCGGGCCCGCGCGCACGCACCCGGACGCACGCGCACGCACCCCCCCCTCCCCCGGCGCGCACTCCCCGCGTCCCTCTCCCTCAGCGGCTCCGGTGGGGAAGCGGGTGCGGAGAAGGAAACTACCTCCTTACCGGCTGCGCTGGTCCTCCGGGCCACGGCCCGACCCCAGAGGCTGCCACGGCCGCGGACCCTCCCCGCCCGCCCCACCACGTAGCCGCCGCCGCCGCCGCCGCCGCCGCCGCCGCCGCCGGGAATCAATGGCCGGGTCGCCGGGTGCTGACGTCACGGCGCGCCAGGCGTGGGCGGCCCCACGTGACCGCCGCCTCTTTTGTCCGCCTGGCGGCGGCGCGGCTCTCGCTGCGGCTGCCGTCGGGGCTCGCTGGGGCCCGGGTGCTGGGCTGGGGAGGCGGCTGGGGAGTCCGCGGCCGCTCCTGACGCGCTCGGGCCGGGGCGCAGGGGCCTCGTCCCCGGGCCGTGGCGCTCGGACGGCTCGTTCCGCCGCAGCGCGGGGTTGCCAGGGGCTCGGGCGGGGACCGACCGCCGCGCTCTCGCGCCTGAGCTACGGCGCCCGCGCTGCGCCCCGCGCTCCCGGCTGCCCCAGAAGGAGGCGTCGGTGGACAGCCCGTCCGCCGGGCCTCCCCGTCCGACCGCACGCGCTGAGCCCCGCCGGGCTCCGAGCAAGGGACGCGGCCGGGCGGCTGCTCGCTGCTGGCCGCGCCCCGACGTTCGCAGGCGGGTGTCCGGCTCCGCTCCGGCCGCCTCCGCAGGGGACAGCGGACTCGTTGCTCTCGGCGCTCCGTGTGCTCGTTGGTCACTGATCGGCCTCCGGGCGCGGCGGGCAGAGACGGGGAGGCCGGCTCCACGCGGAGTCCCCGCCGCAGCGTCCCCGCGGGGCTCGTCCCGAGGTCCTGCCGTCACCACCTGAGCGACAGCCGTAGTCCGGGGCTCGACAGCCCGGGGAGCCTCGCCGGGGCCTCCCACCTTCCCGTGCCCAGCCCCGCTCGTGAGCGCGAGCACCTCCTGCCGCTACGTCGTTGGGCTTCAACATGGGGACCTTGGGGGCACAGACGCGCAGACCCAAGATGGTTCCTTGCATTTCTTTCTTGTCACTGCCCCGCGAGCGTGTCCTCACCCGCTCGCCAGCGGCTGGACGTCTGCGCGATTTCTCGTCTTTCCGCTGTTTCCGACGGCGCTGCTGTTGGGAACACTGCCTCTCGGTGCTCCTGCACAACCACTGCCCCGGGGTGTGCTTCCCTGCAGTGCGACGGGTGGGCCTCGGCGGTGTCCGTGTTGGACGTGCTGTGATCTGTCACTCCTTTGTTCAAAGCGGCTGTGCCGGCTTGCGCTTCTGCCAACGTCCGTGTCTTCCCTGCTGCCCCAGACTTCTCGTTTTGGGGCAGTGAGATGGGGGTTAGATGGTGTCTCACCGCAGCCTTATAGGCATGTCCCCAAGGTTACGCATCTGGTGTATTCTCTGGGCATCTGCATCTTCCTTCGCTGAAGTGTCAGTGTCGGGCTGCGGGGATTTCAGGGCTCGTGAAGGAAGAAGATGTGCCCCGAGATGGCAGTAACACATGCGGGCTTTCTCTGGGTGGGCTTCGACAGATTTGTAGTGGGAAGTCCCTCCCAGAACTGGACCATCCAGGGACACTCCCCCCCCCCACCTGCATCCAGAAGAGAAGGAGGGCAAGGAAGTCCCCAGATGGTTAGGTGACCTTGGGCCACAGCCCAGCGGGAAGTCTCTGGGTCAGAAAGCTCCCAAGGGCAGCCTCAGTGTGGCAGCCTCATAACCACGGGGTTTACCCTGTGACGAGCAGGTGTTGGGCGCAGTTGGAGAAGTATGCACTACAGACTGGCGGCCGTAAGTGGCGAAAAGTCTGCTTGTTGGGGCCGTGTCTAAAACAACCGGATGTGTAAAAATGTGCGCTTGGTACTTACTGGCAGGCATGGAACTGACAGGCCCCAATGTGCTGCCCGGAAACGAGTAAACTGGGGGCCAATATGCAGAGGCCATCGTTGGCTCACTTTTATGATACCCACTTCGTGTCATTTGCTCTTTTTTTTTTTTTTACTGGATTGTACTGAATACTACAATTCAGTAGATGTGTTGCAAGTTTCTTTCATATGTGCCTTGTTTTTTCACCTCCTATCTTGATAAATTCATGTCGTTAACTTCGAGTTTATAAACTAGTTTTTTTCCCCTCATCCTAATCTATATTAGCTTACTCTTCTAAAAATATTTAGTTTTGCTTTTGACATTTGAATTCTTATGCTCTCTGGAATTTAATTTGTGGTTTTACTTTCTACACACAAATGTCTCTCCCCCCAACCCAGGTTTATTTTTTTCACTAGCCCCACTTTTCCCAACTAATTGTCATGTCAGCTTGGTCATATAGTAACGCTCCATTCACGTATGGCTGTATTTCTCTAAACTGCTTAGTCTGTTCTCTGCACAAGGAGGATAGCTTACTTAGTATCCACACCACACCGTTCAATCACCGTAGCTGCAGAAAAGGTCTTGATTATTTAGTAGGGCGAATCTTCCTTAAGTTTCTTCTTCATTTTGTATTTGGGCTATTCTTGATTCTGTGTTTTTCCGTACGTATTTTAGAGCAAGCTTGTCAAGTCACACAGACATATGCACTGGGCCTGTTGGGATTTTAATTGGCGTTGCATTGAATATACAGATCAGTTTGGGTAGAATTCATATCTTTATGATTCTGAGTCTTCAGATTCATAAGCAAGGGATAGCTATCTTTTTATTGGGTCTTCATTAATGTCTTCCAAGTAAAGGTTTGTTGTTTTCTGTTTCCAGCTCTTACACATTTTGTGTTGCGTTTATTCCTAGATACTTTGTACTTTTTTTGCCATTGTAAGTGATACCCTTTAAATTGACACTTTGTAATAGTTTATAGATAAAGTAGAAATAAGTAGGAGTTTGTAAATTGTGGCTGGATAGAACAGTTTGTCAATGGTTTTAGTAATTTGTTCTTTCTAATAATTTGTTGATTGGGGTTTTCTGTATAAACAATTATTGTATGAAAATAATGTCAGTTCCAGTCATTTTGCTTTTTATTTTCCTTAAAGTATAGCACTGGTTAGGACCTCTAGTATAACGTCAGTAGAGATGGTGATGTCTTCTTGACGTTCTTCACTTGGGCACTTTACTTGATCCTGATTTTGAAAAGGAAGTTTAGAATTATTTTTTAGGTTTTTTGGTACATAAATTTAGAGCAGAATTTTTACAGGCTTTTTGTAAATCCCTTTTGTGAAAGAAGGGTCCTCTTTTTCTTAGTTTACTGAAAATTCTTTATTTTGTTTCTTTTTAATTCTTTATTTTGAATGGACATTGAATTTAATCAAATTTATCCTTTGGCCATTGAGATGATCATATTTTTCTCACCCTTTAATATATTAATTTGGTAAATGCCATTTATAGACTTCCTACTATTAAATTATCCTTGCATTCTTTTTTTTTTTTTTTTTAAGATTTTATGTATTTGAGAGAGCAAGCAGGAGCGGGGGGAGGGAGAGGGAGAATCAGGCTCTCTGCTGAGTAGGGAGCCCGACACTCAGCTTGATCCCAGGACTCCTGGGACCATGACCTGAGCCAAAGGCAAATGCTTAACTGACTGAGCCACCAGGGCGCCCTGTCCTTGCATTCTTAGGATAAACTACTCGACCATAAAGTATGACCAATCTTATATGCCTTTGTGCTCAGCTTATATGCTGTGTAGGATTTTTGCATTCGTATTAATGAACAACATGGGCTTGTGATTTCCCTTTCTCATTTTGCCTTCATCTGTGTTTTAAGACTCAAGGAATGATACAAGGAGTGTTCCATTTATATGTCCTCTGGAAGAATTTGAGTAAGATTGGAATGCTCTCTCCCTTCAACTTTCGGTAGAATTCACGTATAAAACTGTAAGGGATGGACGTTGTCTTCGTGGGAAGACATTTATTTATGTATTTTTATTGTTAAAGTAAACTCAGCCCAGGTTGAAGCTCCAGCACAAGAGCCAGAGCTGCCCCGTGGGCCGGCTGAGCCCCGTGAGCGCCCCGCGGGCAGATCTCACAATACTGCTGTAATTCGGTTAATACTTATGTGAGTGCTTAGATATCTTATTTCTCCTTGAAGTGGTTTAAGTAATATGTTTCTTGGAATTTTCCCATTTCGTCTAAGTTTAACACTTATTGGCATGTCGTTGTTGGGATGTTCTCTTCTCAATCTCTCCTGTGTTTGCAGTTAATTTCTTCTTTTTCACTTACAATATTGCTTGTAGTAGACGGTGTTCCCTCAATATTGGCTCCCCTTCTTGGAAGAGGACCAGACATCCCCACCTATTGCCATGTGGAGTGCCTCTTGTGTACCCACCCAGCTGACAGTCACTGTAGTCAAGATGACATCTATCCAAGCAGAAACCTAAAAAGATATCCTGTGTGTTTGCCCTGGCTCTGTTGATCTTTCTTCCACAAAGATGGCATGTCTGTGCCTGGGGGTCCCAGGACGGAGAGGACGTGTGGAGGAAAGTCTGACAATAGGTCTGTAGATGACATATGCAGTAGGAAAAAAAATGAGATTTGGGATTTTGTCAGTTACCACAGCGCATTACACTGAAAACTGACTGATGAATTATTTATCTATATCTTCTATTATTTCTTTTCTTAGATAAATCATTGTGGAGGTTATTTTTATTGGCCTTTTCACAGAACCAACTTTTGGCTTTGTTGATTTTCTCTGTTGTATCTTGGTTTTCTATTTCGTTTTCTATTTCTGTTTCTGCCCTTAAAATTATCTCTTTCCTTCCACTTTCTTTGAGTTTATTGTTTGTTTTCTGCTTAGTTTTTGTGCTTAGTTGATTAATTTTTAGCCTTCTCCCCTTATATAAAAAGCATCTAAGGCAATAAGATTCCCTTGGAGCACTATGTTTCATATCCCTTGTGGTTTTTTCATTTTCTTGTTTTTCTTTCTTTGTTTAAATATGCTCTGTGCCCAACATGGGGCTTGAACTCATGACCGTGGGCTCTGCCACCTGAGCCAACCAGGCACCCATCCCACAAGTTTTGATAGATACTGTTTTCATTATCATTAAATCATAAAATGTAAGTTTTTATTATGGTTTCTTCTTTGACTCGTGAATTATTTAAAAAGCATGTTATTTAATTTCAAAATCTATGGAAATTTTATTTTTTCTTATTTTTAAAGATTTTATTTATTTGACAGAGA